GTGGGAGGAAACCGGAGTACCCGGAGGAAACCCACGCAGACACGGGGAGAACAGGCAAACTCCACACAGAAATGACCCTGGTCGCCCGGCCGGGAATCGAACCCAGGCCCTTCTTGCTGTGAGGCGACAGCGCTACCTGCTGCGCCACCGTGCCGCCCAGTCTGTGAAGTTGATAATAATAATAATAATAATAATAATAATAATAATAATAATAATACTACTACTACTACTACTTATATAGCGCTTTTCAAGAACTCAAAGACGCTGATGTTTAAATATAAATTTAAACAAGCGATTGTCTTCAGCAACAACAGATCTCAGTATTTCGTTGCTGTTGTGCAAAATCCTTATAACATTTTGACGTGTTTTTACTTTTTTAGATAATTTGTATTGTTTTAAAATTTAATGCCAAACAATCTGGTTCATTTATCTTCCACTAGTTCTCCTGTAAAGTTACTGTTTAAGAGATTCGGTTTTGTTCAGTGATGATTTCTAGTTCAGTCCTGTTTTTGGGCTGCTGAAGAATCTAAAACAGAAACGTCCACTCACAGCGGAAATGGAGGACGGAGCAGCGAGAAGCAGATTATTCAGACGGAACACACTCGCCCTCGGCTAGCTTAGCCTCAGTGAGCTAATCAGCTAGCCGTGCAAACTTCACAATGCCAGAAGTGTTTTAAGACATTTGACCATGATGTACGAAGCGTTTGAGGACTGTTTCTTCATCTGGCTGTAAACCTGTGGATGTTGTTGAACCGTGGTGTATATTGTTAGCTGTGTAGCCTTTAGCATGCTAACCAGCAAGATAGCTGAGGTGTATCATCAGTTGTAATGAAGAGATGGAGCTGTTTGCTGCCTGAAGATCAGCTAATCGAATGTTATGGTTTTGAAATGTTTAAGTTTAAAATGGCCATATAGTTTACATACATTAAACACATATAAATATATATACATATATATTTATATAAATATGTATAACAGTAATTCTGGTAACAGGGTTGTATTATTCAGCTTTACTGCAGCCAAATCAGTGTTTTGGGTGTAAATTGAGAAAATATAATAAAAATACTGGCCAGTCTGATGGTCATTCTGCAGAAAGCGATTATGCAAATTTCTGTTGATATCTTAATAAACAGAATGTACCTTTTTCTTTACAGGAGAACAGGTCTGGGCAACAGGACAGCACATAAAATGTGGGACAGGGGTTAAAATGACTTTTGTTGGTAAATTAAAAAATACTGAATAGAGAAAACTGGTTATTATAGCGCTAAATTGTTTGAAAATGAACCAAGTAACACTGTAATTATGTTATTTGAGTATAATGAGTATATTTTTAGTAATGTTCACTGCCAGTGAGGTGGGACAGCCCAGTATCACCATAGTAAAGGTGGACAATTATGTTTTTTCAAATGCTAATTTTAATCATTTAATTTTAAGTTAAAGTACAGATCCCTTCACGTTTTACAGAAATAAAAACAATAACAGCCTGTTTATTGCTTTAAAAATGTAATGGAACATAAATCAAACTCTATTCAAGGAAAGTGCCAGTTAAATGCTGGTCATTAGTTCTTGTGTTATGTTAAATAGTTTAAATCGTTTTGTTTTGTCTGATTATGCTAATGAGCGGGTACTTTTCTAATGATTTAGCCACAATGTTGTAGTCTAGCTGTAATTAGGCGGTTGTTATCTTCATTACAGTCACTAAATACTTGCCCCCTTAACCCGTAACCAGCCCCCCTAAAATTTTATTCCACCCACCACTTCTGTTCTAATGACCCTGGAGCAGGAAGTCCCCCCACCCCCCTCACAGTGTGGGTGTTATTGTCCAGACTGTGGTGTTAAAGGACGTGTTCAGCTTCAAATGCATGTTTAAATGTATCTGCCAAATCTGACCTACAGCTGCAGCTGCTGAATAACAGCCCAAAAATTCAGGGTTTATAGTGATTATGGTTTATGCTGCATCATAAATCATAATTATTGCTGCATTAATCTGCGATTGCTCGTCTCCTCCTGCAGTTTCCTGTGAGCTGAAACAAACACAAATCAAGCAGCGTATGGAAGCTAATTCAGGAGTAAAGAATGCAGGACGTGCGTTTGATTTATGTTGCCCTGAGGCTCCAAACATCAGCGCCCGCCCCGCGCTCCCCGCCGCCTGCCTATATAAGGAGCTCCAGCGCTGCTCGGAGCCAGGAGGGCCGCCGGGGCTGCTCACTTCAAAGCAGCGCCTTCACTTCACTGTGTAAATTTGCGTACGTCTCACCATTAATCAGCTGAAAAGAAGCGCGAGTCGGGACCTTTTCCATTTCAAGGCGTTTGAAAACTCGGCCTCGTTTCAGGGTGTTTATCTTCGGCGGGTTATATCTGTCCTTATAACCTCCCTCGCATGGAAAATGTCTGCGCTCTGGGTCGCCGTGTCACGTGACCGCGCCGATAAACGATGCGGCGGCGTGTTCCATAAGAGGAGACGGACTGCAGCCCTAGCAGGACGACCTGCTGGTCAGGATCAAACCTCCAGCTGACTGAGTGAAGGGACGAGTAACAGTGAAGTCACTCAGTAATTCAGAGTTCAGTGGGGAAGCCTGAGAACTTCCAGCCGTGACTGCAGGAACCTACAGCTACGAAACTGGGAGATAACAATAACAGCACACATCAGAAACAAACACTCACTTCACAGCAATAATGCGCATTTGAGGGATTCTCAGTAAAACAGTTCTGTGTCCCGTTGACAGCAAAGGGTCTGAACTTTGAACAGTTGCTATTTCAGTGCACTAGGTGGTGCTGTGTGTCTTACGCTCTATAAATTAGGAGGTAGAAGAAGTCTAGCCATTCACTCAGACCTAAAATGGAACGTTATTAAAGGCGTCCACTCTTAAAAATAAACGCACAATAGGTTTTTTGAGTGATGCCCAGTTTTAGTCCCCTTAAGAACCTCAATATAAAAGAAGACTTCTTACTTTTTACACCAGGCAAATGTTCTATACTAGTTTAGGGGCTCTTTCTAGAACCTTTCCATTATGCTGAGGTTCTGTAAAAAGTTCTACTGATTCACCATTCATTGAAAGGTTCTTTAGGGGACCAAAAAAGCTTCAGCGTTCAGGTTGCGATCTTATTTTAAGAGTGTATAATTATTAGCAATAACTATCAATATTAAATAAAATAATATTCTACACTGTGATCAGATTTTTGGCCAAATCGCCCGACTGCAGGAGGCACATCAGTCCAAACTCAACAGACGACCAACAATCGAAACTAGAGTTTCAAATATTTGACGGTATTCGTGTGTTTTTGTCGTTGCCATGGATGGAAATTTCCTGCCCCACCCACCAGCAGCAGCCTGTGATTGGTTATTTTTCATATTTTGCGTCAGTCTAATGGCCTGTTCCTGTCAAAGAAGGCGATTCTCAGCAACATTGACGGACGAAATGTACCGACCCTCTGACTTGTGAAACTAGCGTCTCTTCCAACTGTGCTGAGCTGCCCAGTGATGTTGCTTTAATGGCACTAAAATATTAAACAATGAAAACAGTTGAAGTCCCAGAAAACCAGGGTGTCAATAACACATTACACAGTGTAAGGTTTTTTCACATTAAAAGCTCTTGCGTTTGCTATTTTTTGAGTTGGGTTTAACAAATGTGGTGCTGTCAGGTTGAGTGCAGACTAAACCTCGCTGTGGGTCAGGTGGGTCAGGTTCGGTCAGGACTTTGTCAGCCCTCCCCTCTAATCCAGACCTAACAACTCACTGAGAGCTGACTCCACTTTCCTCCTTCATTCCTAACACTATTTGGTTTTTGTCAGTTCAGGCTTTGAGTCAGAGCCTCATTCTTAGTGTGACAGATTGTTGATGCCATGCTCCTCTGGCGCTTTCACTGCAGCAGAAACGTATGATATAAGCCTGACTCACATCCTGCCTCGTCTGTGAGACGCAACAGAAGGTAATTGGCACACAAGGTCCAGTACGAGCCCAGCTATCTCACTGTGCTTCCGTATTTGGCTCATGGAGTTGCCGTATTTCCTTTCATAAGCTTTATGGTGAGATTTCCCTCCTCGCTAATGCTCTGTATCAGCTTTATTCATAACTGTCGGCTTGACGGAGTCAATTCCCCTCCGCTGATCTCTCACCAGCTTCTCTGCAGCTGGATGTGCTGAACGTTTCCTCGCCCAGAGGAAGTAGCGTCTGCTAAAGGTCATGCTAGGCCTGACAAACCCTGGTGCATCAGGAGACATCAGGGTAAACATCTGTATATGCTCAATATCTAAAGGAGACAAGACTCAGGAATGCTGTGAAATGATAAAGCAAGCAAAAGAGTGAAAGCAAAGCTCAGAGGAGGAAGTACAGAGGGAGGTGTGAAGAGCAGAGAGGCTAGAGGAGGTAAACAAAAGCCAATAATTCATCAGGAGGTAGAGAAATGAAGGTATAGAAGGACACTGAGGGCACATGGGTCAATGTTGGCACAGTTAAAGTTCTGAAATTTCTGGAAGTGAAAAATAAATCACACTATTATCATTTATTATTTAAATGGTTGGTATATTGACTTTTTCATGGTTAATAAGAAGTTCAGTCAGTAAAATCCTGTGACACTTGGCTTGAGTGTTAATTTCACACCAAAACAGCCTTTCTGACAACTAATGCTTGTTGAAATAAGCTGTTGTACATGTTTATGTAGGTTTATGTCAGTTGTCATGAAAGACTCATGTGGCTTTATAAACACTGCCTTTCAGAAAAGTCTATCGAAGTTAGTCTGCCAGTGCGCTCTAGTCCTGGTCTTGGTTCAAGCTCCATTTTGCACAATGGTTTAACCCCTTAAAATCCCAGGCTTATTACTTACTATGGCTTATTATTCAGTAACTACAGGGAACTCTTAATGCAAACTGGTTGAGCTATTCTTAGGTTTTAGAAGTGTGTAATAAAACACTGGGCAGATGAGCTCTGACCATTTAAGGTGTTAACACTAGTCACAACAAGCTTCAACTAGGGTTAAAAGTGTAAACAATATAAAACTTACGAGATCTCATCATTTTGGAACTCCAGGACACCATAAGTATCTTCAAAGTCCTCTCCGCCTCCTTTGGCTGTTCCCTCGATGGTTTTGTAGGGCACCACCACAACCCCTCTGGCACCGGACGTCCTCACCACCTTCACCTCCATTATGCCGATGCTTTCACTCACGTGAACCACCGGCTCCTCAAACGCAAAGATTCCGGCATGGTCATCGTCGAAGATGGTCACTGTAGCCGTGGACGGCAGGCCCAGGCTCGCCAGACTGTCCACATGGTTCACAAGCAGGTTCCCATCATCCTGGCCTTCAGACAGCACTTTTACATTGCTGAGATGGACCAGGAAGTGCTCGTCCTCCTCAAAGATGTCATCGTCAATAATGTCAACTCGAATTTCCTTCTCAGTCTCACCTGGTTTGAAGACAATGACGCCCTCTGTGAACTGGTAGTCAGATCCTGCATTGGCGGTGCCATCTTCGGTGCGGTAGTTCACAGAAATGGTGCTGGTCAAGTCACCCCCACGTCGCACAACGTTCAGCGCAACTGATCCACAGTTCTCCAGACATTGGTAGGTGCCTGGGTCAAAGAAGATCTTCGAGGAAAAGTCGTTTTCGGAAACTTCTGAGCGAAGTTCATGGGTGCAGACTGCCCTCCTGGCCTGATCTGCAGCATGCTTCTTCAGGATGTTCCCCGCACCGGTCATGAGCCTGGTGGCCTGGCAGCGGTAGAAAGCACGGCTCTTCTGCTGCTGGCTCAGGACCTGGTAGTTGGCGAGCTCAATGAGCTGTTCCATCTCTTTCTCCGGATGTTTCTGTTTTAGTTCCTTTAAAATCCTGGCCATCTCCCTCCTGGCTTCTTCCTCGTCCATATCTTTCACCTCAGCATTCACAGCTCCGTCCAGGAACTCCTCTCCGTGGGAGTTGAGCATCGGGCCGTCCATTTCAATGTCCGCTTTGGACTGGAGCTCCGGCTCCCCTTCGGTCTCGATGATCATCCCCCGCTGCTTCCCGACTCTGTAGCGCTTATACACATACTTATAGAACAGAAGTCTGCGGTCAGCGACCCACGCGAACACGACACATATGGGGAAGAAGAAGAGAGTGAGGAGCCCCTCCCACACTTCCACCACACCTGGAGAAATAACGGCCAAAATCAGGTACAGCCAGGTGTAGGCGAAGATGCTCCAGGCCGCAGTGACGAAGAACACTCTGAGGTGCTTAACCTTGCGGTGGTCTCCATCCGGGATGACGGAGACGCACAGGCCGATGATGACGAACATGTTGAAAGCTGCGCTGCCCACGATGGTGTTCGGACCCAGTTCACCTGCATCGAAGTTGTGTCCACAAACTTCCACCACGGAGAGTAAGATCTCTGGAGCAGAGGAACCCAAAGCCATGAGAGTCAGATTGGACACCGTTTCGTTCCAGATGCGGACCGTAGTGGTCATGGTCTCTCCGTTGGGCTTCTTGATGGTGATTTCTTTCTCCTGTGACGTGATGACTTCGATTGATGCCATGAAACGATCTGCGATGATGGAGACCCCCAAGAACATGTAGACCAGTCCAACAAAATAGACCGTAGCTCTAGCCAGCTTGTCTGAAAACGACGGGTTTTCTGGAGTCCATATCGGCAGCATCACTCCTTCCTTGCACTCGTAGCTACCAGAACATGTTCCTGATTCGTTGGCTGAAGAGGAACCTTCATCCAGCTTGGAGCCTCCAGCAGCAACAAGGTGAAGCTCATGGGAAAAAAAGACGAAGAACAGAGCGAGTTTTATATTGTAAGGAAGGAAAGTTGAGGTCTCTGATTGTCCCATCTTTCTGATCAGGTATCCTGTCTCTTCACTTTTCCCTGTAGAGAAAAAGATTCTGATTAGAAAACAGACAAACTGATACTTAATATGTTTAATACTGTGTATACTATACTAACAATAATAATAATAATAATAATAATAATAATAATCATCATCATCATCATCATAGTGTAGCTGTATTGATATTAGCAAATAGGCTAAAAACATTGTATCATACATTGTTTACTTTAGTGAATATATATCTGGGCTCATTTGTAATCAAATGTGTGGATGCTGTGTCACTGTATAGTGAATCATATGAATTGTATGTTTAACTTCAGCATCAGTATGCAGTGATTCATATGTGTGAATTCAGTATCACTATGTAGTAGATCATATGAATTGTATTTAGTGAATCACATGAATCACATATTTAGGTCAGTGTCGCTATATAGTGAATCATATGTAGTGAATCATATGAATCATGTATATTAATTCAGTATTGGAGGGTGAATCCTGAGGCAGTGACACTGAGACATGCTGTGCATGAGCGACGAGTAGCTCACACACACACACACACACACACACACACACACACACACACACACACACACACAGCAGTGTTAATCTGAACACAGCAGCCTGAAGGTGAACCCACTCATCTCGGTGTGTGTTGTACTGATTGTCCACTAAATATGCTCCTGTGTTAATCAGTGAGTTCTTCCACCTCATTGGTTCTGCTGTGTGTCTGTGTTGTTGCTGTGTGCTGAATGCAGCTGTTTCCAGCTGTAAACTCTACAGAGCTCAAAGTTCTTCCTGTTTCATGGAATCGAGTCTCTTAATCTAAACAGCAGACGGCTGTAGTTTGAGCCGTAGCAGCAGCAGCACTGAACTAAAACGACCTCTGAGCAAGTTCTACACTCCTAAAAGAGATGGTTCTTTAAGGTTTTTTAAGTAAAGGCAATGGTTCTATATACCACCAAAAAGAGTTCTGCTATTGGTGTGTCAAGCATTATTGTAACAATAGAAGAATGCTTTTTGGTGCTGTATAGAACCATTATCACAAAGAGTCTACATAGAACCACATACAGAACTGAAGAACCATTTCGGTGTTTTAGCATGCAAACAGTCCTTTGAGTGTTCATGGTTATACATAGAACCACTGCCTTTACTAAAGAACCCTTGAAGAACCATCTTTTTAAGAGTGTACTGTAGAGTCGGTTGGACTGATGATGAATAATTAGAGGAATCAGCCAATCAGTCGCTCTTTCACACCATCAGTATCTAACAGCTGTGCTCAGACGTCTCCTACAGAGTTTATTCAGTGTGTAAACAGATTGAAAACATCAGTTAATATTAGTTCATAACATCATTTAATATTAGCCCGTTTCACAATTTGCTGCACTACAATCCCCAGCATGCACTACAACGTAATGTGCTCTGACTCTCCTTCCCCAACACCCAAGTCTTAATGAACTTACAGCAAAGAGAAGATGCCACATGTCCAGTTTAAGCAGATGGGCAGGGTTAAAAGGCTGAGCTCCTGGGGACGTTTACATTCAGAATATTTCAAGTATTCATGTAATATTTCAAGACCTACTACAGGTGCTTATATTTTACTGTTCACTTTACAGCAAAATGTGAATTAAATGACCTAAAACACAGACACAGATCTCTGGCCCACAGATCTGATAATGAGACCCTTTTAGTGGCTGAGTTTGACTCCCCTGTTCTGGATGATTTATGTTCATATTTTCAGATAAAGTGACTAAACATTAAAAAAGTCGCTCATGATGTTTGATGAGTGTGTGTGTGTGTGTGTGTGTGTGTGTATCTGTGTGTGTGTCTGTGTGTGAGATGAGTGTGTGTGTGTGTGTATCTGTGTGTGTGTCTGTGTGTGAGAGATTTGTGTGTGTGTGTGTGTCTGTGTGTGAGTGTGTGCGAGATGTGTGTGTGTGTGTGTGTATTATGTGTAAGATGAGTGTGTGTGTGTGAGAGATGAGTGAGAGATGTGTGTGAGAGATGTGTGTGTGTGTGTGTATTATGTGTAAGATGAGTGTGTGTGTGTGAGAGATGTGTGAGAGAGATGTGTGTGTGTGTGTGTGTGAGAGAGAGAGATGTGTGTGAGAGATGTGTGTGTGTGTGTGTGTGTGTATTATGTGTAAGATGAGTGTGTGTGTGTGAGAGATATGTGTGAGAGATGTGTGTGAGAGATGTGTGTGTGTGTGTGTGAGAGATGTGTGAGAGAGATGTGTGTGTGTGTGTGAGAGAGAGAGATGTGTGTGAGAGATGTGTGTGTGTGTGTATTATGTGTAAGATGAGTGTGTGTGTGAGAGAGATGTGTGTGTGTGTGTGTGTGTGTGTGAGAGAGAGAGATGTGTGTGAGAGATGTGTGTGTGTGTATTATGTGTAAGATGAGTGTGTGTGTGAGAGAGATGTGTGTGAGAGATGTGTGTGAGAGATGTGTGTGTGTGTGTGTATTATGTGTAAGATGAGTGTGTGTGTGTGAGAGATGAGTGAGAGATGTGTGTGTGTGTGTGTGTGTGTGTGTGTGTGTGTGTGTGTGTGTGAACACTACAGGCAGCTTTCTCCTCGTATAACTTCAGCACTCGGCTCAGGGGTGGAGGAGAAATGATGACATCATCACTGAGTCACACTGCCTTGACCCCCCCCCCTTGACTCCCCCCCACCACCCGGCTGAGTCGGACCACTGACCTCTCTGACCCTCTTCAGTCCAGCACTCAGTTCACTTCAGTTCCTCACGCTCACATTTACAGACCCCACACAGCCTCACAGTAACTACTGAATAACTCATAATAACTACTGAATAATTAATAATAAATACTGAACTATTCATAATAATTACTGAATAATTCATAATAAATACTGAACTATTTATAATAATCACTGAATAATTCATAATAAATACTGAACTATTCATAATAATCACTGAATAATTCATAATAATTACTGAACTATTCATAATAATCACTGAATAATTCATAATAAATACTGAACTATTCATAATAATCACTGAATAATTCATAATAATTACTGAATAATTAATAGCAGATACTGACAAAAAATTATAGATACTGAATAATTCATAGTAGCTACTGAATAATTCATAATAATTACTGAATAATTTATAGTAGATGCTAAATAATTTATAATATTTACTGAAAAAGACTGAATTTGTCTTTAGATAAATGAATAATGATCGCATGTAATGGATTGTTTTCTCAGTTCTCACCTGTAGGGGTCTCTGTTTCCCCAGTATTGAGTGTTGTTTAACTCAGCAGGAGCCGTTTTAGAGAAACTCCCTCTCTTTAGTCCTGAGTTCAGATCTGATGGTCAGGATAAGATTTTTCACAAATTCATATTACAGAATCAAATCTGATCTAAATTTAGGAATCTGAACTTACAGCATCTAATCTCCAGTTAGGAAATCTTAACCTACTCAATCAAAGGTGACAATCAGCTGTCATGTCTGTTTCCTAGCAACTGACCATAGAGTTAGAGCTGCTGTAACCGTTATATCTCACACTCAGAGTGTGACTGTGGGTGTGACACAATCAGTTACCACCCACATATCAACAATCTGATTGGTCGCCACTTGGTTCATTTGCATAAAGCTGGTCCAGAATGAGAGCGGAGTGATGATGTCAGAGCTCTGATGTGTCAGTTGTGTGTGTGCTGTCGTCTCTCGCCTCGTTAAAGCGCAGTATGACTCACTCTGCTAGATATAAAGTAAGAAAAAATTCAAATGGAAAAAGGTAAATTATTTAGTACGATGTCATCGTTCACATCACAGACACACTGCTTAAAACACCTTCCCGCGTCACTGTGTTCGGGTGAGTCTTTCTGTCCACAAATGCAGGTTAAGACTGTAATATGCACAGCAGAAGTCACATTATAGCATTCAGAAACGCCGCCAACTTCTCTGGGCTGGAGCTCATCTGAAATGGATTGATGCTCAGTGGAAACATTTATTGTGGTCTGATGAGTCCACCTTTCAGATTGTTTATGGACAGAATGGACGTTGTGTTCTCCAGGCCAAAGAACCATCCAGATTGTTACCAGCATAAAGTTCTAAATTCATCTGTCATGGTGTGTGTGTGGGGGGGTATTAGTGGATAACCTGCACATCTGTGAAAGCTCTATTAACACTGAACACATGTTGGAGCAACACCTTGGAGTCTTTTTCAGGGACATCCATGTTTATTTCAACCTGAAACGTGTTACAGCAGCATGGCTGTGTAATACGAGAGTGCGGGTTCTAGACTGACCTGCCTGCAGTCCAGAACGGCCTCATACCTTAAGTGTGTGCCTGATTAAACTCAGTATATATGAAGTAACGTAAGTTTTAACCCTGAATTAAACCCACAACAAAAAAAAAACGACTGGAATAATTTGCACAAACAGGAAAGACTGATTTTTATTCATCTTTTACTAAATTAAAATGCACTTATATGATCCTCTTTATTTAAAGACTATATTTACATGACTATATTCTTTTTAGCAGAACAGCCATTTAGAGCACATAAATAAACAACACAGTAATACATATGCTAATTAAATATTTAGCTAGAAAGTGCTAAAGCTGTCACTGCAGTTCTGAAGTGAAGACGGTAAAATCTGAATATGTAAACATTCAAACACATATAATGTCATAAGCCAATTAAACAAACATGTAGCAAGCTCTGCTAGCGCTGGCTGCTTTTTCTAGCATTCTAGCACAATCGCTGGCAGACTAGCGCATCACCACTGTCCAATAAAAACACGTCCAAAATAGTAACTTTACAGGAGGAGTGAAAACATTCTGAACTTTCAGTGTAAGTTAATGTGAAAAGGTTTTACTCCATATAATTTGAAGCGTTTCTGTTGGTCTGTTCATCACAAAGGTTTCACATGATGTGAATAATTAGCATAATTAGCGTAATTAGTATATTCACTTACAGGCAAATTTACTAGAGGACTATCATGTTTTACTAGCATTGCTAATTTAATTTGGCAAATTATGCTCATGCTGTGAAGTTTATTCTGCATCTAACCAAGCAAAGCTTATTCTTCAGATAACGCTACAGTTCAGTTCAACCTACTTTCAAAACATTATACGATTATTCAACCTGTATATTATTACAGTTAACACGTAGAATTCTCAGCATCTCAAAAATGGATTTGTCTATTTATATTTTGAATTTCTTGTATGAATTTACGTCTCTGCGCCACTGTTCTATTATCTATATCAGGTATTGTATATGTGGTGCTGTACTGAGTTCTACTGTGACAACAATAATTATAATTGGGGATATAATATAATAAAAAAGAATCTATCAATCTCTCTGTTTATGCCCCAAATAAACTGTGGTATGACCTTTATTTAACCTTTAGAACCCTAGAATTATATAGGGGGAAAATTTTATTATTACAACTGCAATTATAAAGTATTTACATGTGACAGTCACACAAGCCTATGCTGTTATTTTCAGAGACTCTGGGCTGCTCAGATTTGCCATTATTTGACATGTAAATTCAAACAGAAATTTGATATCTTTATGAATTTGGCTAGTTTTTGAACAAAAACGTACATAACGTCTGCTAAGTTTCAAAATGTTTTTCTTATAGAGATCCTGAATACAGGCACCTCAGATACCCTTCAGAAATGGTTAGTCTGGAGTGTCTGTGAGCTCAAAGTGCAAGAATGTTGATGCTGATTCATTCTGTAAAAATAAACAATAAGCATAAGGCGGCCATGTTTTTTATTGATTTTCGGTCCTCTTGGATTCAGCCTGAGTGCTAAAACCATGATGCACAGCAGGACAGACTAAACGGAAAGACAGAGCTAAATATGATTAATTTTATAATAATATGTATCATATTTATTGTTATTGATCTGTTGATTATGCTTCGCCTTTCTGTTTAATAAAGTGCTGTATGTGGATATTTTTCTCAACATAAAACGTAATATGTGAAATATTTGTACTCCAAATGTTCCAGAACAGTCAAACTGTTTTGCTAAACAAAAATGACATCATTTGTCAAGGAAATGATGCAAAGCCACATTTGATTGTGGATAAAAGTTTAGAATTTGTAGGCAAACAAAAAATTGAGATAATTTCTGTGAGATGTTGATCTGAGATATAAATCCACCAAACTTCATCACTTCAGACCAATCAGAGCCAGCTCTGCAGCTCATCTCCTCCCGGGGATAAACGCAGCTGATGAAGGAGTTAAAGCTGATTTGTTTTATATTAGTTTATAAAATCTGTTTTAAAGCCATAAACTAAAAGAGATTTTCCTCCGTCAGGTCAACACTGGACAGCGTAGCCCACCAGGACATACTGAAGAACCCACAGCTGGAGAGTCTCACCCACCGACATCATCATCATCATCATCATAACATCTAAACGAATAATCTAAACACAGTCCCAGAGCCCTGACCACGCTGACCTCAGCAGCACTCTGCCCTGCCCGCTGGAGTATGAGTGGTAAAGAGGGTTAAAGAGTGAGTTTGGAGCTCACCTGCGGTGCGTTTGGAGAGGAGCGCTGGACGGCAGTGGACTGAGCTCAGCAGACGCTGGAGCAGGCATTGTTTGTGGCAGGCCGGGCTGGACGGGCCGCTCTAAACATGGGCAGCGTCTCAGAGCGAGTGAGAGCGCGCTGCTTATCGTCCTCATCCCGACTGCACTTCCTTACAAGGCTGCAATCCCTCAGCACGCGCTGTCCTGCACTCAGCACCCGCAGATAAACCGCCGCCCGCTCGCCCGCCCCCCGCAGGAGAGAGAGAGAGAGAGCTCAGAGTGAGTGTGAGAATGTGATGAGGACCGGGCTGATAAGTGCGTGTGTGTGAGTGTGTGTGTGAGTGTGTGTGTGTGTGTGTGTGTGTGAGTGTGTGTGTGTGTGTGTGTGTGTGTGTGTGCGGTTCTCAGTATCTGCTGGATGTTGGGGTCTCCTTCAGGTCCAGTACAGCCAGGGTCTGTGAGCCCATATGGGAAAAAATATATGGACACATTTTTATATGTTTGAAATACATTCAAACACTAAAATGTATTTCAGGATATTTTGTCTTATTAAGCAAATATATTTTAAAATGCATCTGTTTAAAATTTTACACACAGACAAAAATAACTGTGTGTAAATGTTTTTATCAAATCCATCTGAAAATGTATGAAAATATCCAGAATCCTGTCTGATGCTCTTCACTGTCTGATGCTCTTCACTGTCTGATACCTTTAGAGATGAATTTGTGTTCCAGTATCTTCATTTTAAATCTGATCAAATGATCCTTTAACAGGACAGAAGCGAGTGTTGTGGGTATTGATACTCCGTGAAAATGCAGTTATGATCTGATATCTTGTTTATGTGAAATACATTGTGTGTGAGAGTCTGACTGCAGACGTACATGGTTAATGTAAAGTACAGTGCAGATCACAGAAGAACGTTTAGTTACATCTGGAACCTTCATTACACACAACTGAACACAGATAATAACTAATACAGATAAATACATTTAATATATATATTTAGGAAATAGTTTTTTGGCCATTTTGAAACATTGCAAAAATATATTTGATAAGTACAACCCCATTTCCAAAAACGTTGGGAAGCTGTGCAGAATGTAAATAAAAACAAAATGCAATGAAGTGCAAATCATTTAAACCCTATATTTCATTGAAAATAGCAAAAAGACAACATATCTAATGTTGAAACTGAGAAATCTTATTAAGTTTTGAAAAATACATGCCTGTTTTGAGTTTGATGCCAACAACACGTTCCAAAAAAGTTGGGACGGGGGCAACAAAAGGCTGGTAAATTTGTGTAATGCTAAAAAAACACCTGGTGGTTAATGGGCAACAGGTCAGTAACATGATAAAGAGCATCTCAGAGAGGTGGAGTCTTTCAGAAGTAAAGATGAGGAGGGGTTCACCACTCTGTGAAAGACTGCACCATCAAATAGTGCAACAATTCAAGAATAATGTTTCTTAGCGTAAAATAACAAAGAACTTCTGCTTTTCATCATCTACGGTACATAATAACATTAAAAGACTCAGAGAATCTGGAGAAATCTCTGTATGTAAGGGACGAGGCCAAAAACCAGTATTTGCTGGCCGTGATCTTTGGGTCCTCAGGCAGCACTGCATTAAAAACAGACATGATTCTGTAGTGGAAATCACTGCATGGGCTCAGAAACACTTCTGAAAACCACTGTCTGTGAAAACAGTTCATCACTGCATCCACAAATGCAAGTTAAAACTCTAAAACGCAAAGAAGAAACCAAATATAAAGAGAATCCAGAAATGCTGCCACCTTCTCTGGGCCTGAGCTCATTTAAAATGGACTAAGCTGAAGTGGAAAAGTGTCCTGTGGTCTGATGAACCAAAATTTAAAATTCTTTTTGGAAATCATGGACACTGTGTCCTCTGGGCTAAAGACCACTCAGCTTGTTATCAGTGCACAGTTCAAAAGCCAGTATTCATGATGGTATAGGGGGCATTAGTGCACATGGCATGGGTGACGTGCACATCTGTGAAGGCACCATTAATGCTGAACGATACATACATGTTGCAACATATGCTGCCATCCAGACGACGTCTTTTTCAGGGAAGGCCTTGATTATTTCAGCAAGACAATGTAAAACCACATTCTGCATGTGTTACAGCAGCATTGCTCCGTATTAAAAGAGTCTGGGTGCTAAACTGACCTGCCTGCAGTCCAGACCTGTCACCACTGAGAACATTTGGCACATTATAAAATGAAAAATACAACAAATGAGCCCCTGAACTGATGAGCAGCTGAAATCCTGTATCAAACAAGAACAGGAAAACATTTCACTTTCTAAACTACAGCAGTGTCTCCTCAGTTCACAAACGCTTACAGAGTGTAGTTAAAGAAGAGGTGATGAAACACAGTGGCAAACAGGACCCGGTCTGAGAGGTTAATTAGGGGGTCTCAGCCCCCTCAGGACCCCCTGTGTTTCACATCTTGTGGGCGGTGTTCTAAAACTTCACCCCTGACCTCGGGAGATCGTGAGTTTGAACCCCAGCAATTCCACAGCTGTCCACATCTGGAAGCCTAAATAGGGGAAAAAGTCCCAGCTGGAGTAGAACACAAACTCCACACTGTTCACTATGAAACTGCTGAGAAACTACAAACGTGAGCTGGAAGAACTTTTGACTGAAGAAGTTTGAGTTGGTTGAACTGTGGAGTCTGAAGTTGAGGTAACTGAAGAAAAGCAGAGCATTCGGTTACTCCAGCATCTTAGTATGAGCTTTTATTTAAACTTTCACTGTAAAAAATGGTAACTTAAATAATTTACTTCATGTGGTGACTGTAACGTCCTGCCCTGCTCTGCCCTTGTTTGTCTCTGTTTCTGCCTTTGTTTACATTCCCTGATGTGTTTATTCATGTGCTTGTGTTGTTGTTTTGGCCTTTGTCTCCACCCCGTCCTGCCTCATTGTCATTTGTCTCACCTGTGTGTTGTCTGTAGTTCCACCTCCTCATGAGCCCCAGGTGTTTCTTGTCTCCCGTCAGTGTATTTAGACTCCTGTGTCTGCTCAATCTGGTTGCCTTGCGTTGTTGGTATTAGCCCCTTGTTGGTTGTTCCGTGTTTCTAGTTTTATGTCGTCTTGTAGGTTTTTCGGTTCTAGTTTGTGTTCTTTTAAGTTTAGTTCTGTTTCTTTCCTGTTTGTGGTTTGTTGTTCCACCATGGACATTTCTACATTGCTCACCTCAAATCCAAAGTCCTGAAATCAGATTCAAATTAAAGCAACTTGCACTCCCACCCAGGCTCATCACCTCCGATGTTACAGTAACAGTATTTTACAGTACATACTGTTACTCTAACGTGCATATTGTTCACACTAATTAGTTTATTCACCTCAAATAAATACTCTCAGCAAAATGCTTGTTCATTCAAATGATTTTAGTTGAATTAAACTAGTTTAATTACAGGTTACATGAAGTAAATTTTTAAATTAAGCTGACAAATCATTTTTACGGTGTGGAAACAAACAGACCATCTTAGCGTCTTGAAAAGGGTTAAACTAAGAAAAGTTATGACCTTTAAATGAAGAAATATTGTAGATTCTGCTGTTTGTGTTTCTCTATTAAAACATAATCAGATTTGTGACACTGACCATGTTTAGGCCTGTCAGACTGTTTTTAGTCTGATCTCTTCCAGTGAAGCGAGTACCTGCAGCTCGAGTGCACGCTGTCATTAAAGCAAAAGAGGGACACGCCACCAAACACTGAGAAACTCTGAAAATTAACCTGAAATTTCAAATATTCTACTTTTCACTCAGACTGCTGTGCTGATAATATACGTTGTATATTATCTAATCTATGAATTAGACTACATGCTTTAAAAAGATGGTTCTCCAGTAGTTCCTTAGCAAAGACATTGACCCTTTATAGAACCATGAACACTTAAAGAACCATTTGCATTCTTAAAGGGTTCTGTGAATGGTGACGTTTTTCTTCAGACTGATGGAGAATCTGTTTATATGGGTCTACATAGCACCAAAAAGGGCTCTGCTATTGTTGCAAGCTTGATATCATAACAATAGAACAACCCTTTTGGTGCTTTGTAGAACTATTGTCTTTACTAAAGAACCCTTGAAGAACCGTCTTTTTAAGAGTTTAGATATTAAACTAGTATGCAAAACAGAAGCATTTCCACACCATTCTCAGACACCACTGTGTATATTTAACTGAAAATTACCCAGAAGCCTCAGCAGCTAACTCTACTCTCAGCTGTGAGAGTCAGTGAGTCACTCTCTCCCTTTATTCCAGCTTCTATTCTCTTCAGGAGCCTCACTTTCAGTTCCTCAAAGAATCTGCAGACACACCTCCAAAGTTCAGTCTTAGAAGCTGGTTGATGATTTTCTGAAGTAATCAAACACATTCAGTGGTGTTGAGGTCTGGACTCTGGGGTGGTCAGTCCATCGTTTAGCTTCTTTGTTTGATGTGTCCGTCTCCTTTTCTCAGTGAGGTTCTTCTTGATCAGCTACACATCCTTTCAGACCCACAGATCCCCATAAACCCATAATTCACCCACCAATATTTCAAAATCTCCCCCCATAACTCAGTGTGTGAGATGTAATCAGAGTGATTCAGAGTGGTTTGGTGTGAAACGGTTCAGATGTCTTTACAGTGGTGGTGATAGGAACCAGGGGTCGCCATGACTACAACACAAATATAGACATTTTATTTACTATCCAGAACCACCAGTGAACCTACACGAGTCTTCTGAGTTTATATGGAATGTTGATGATGGAAAATAGTGGAAAATCTGAAATAATAAGTTTTCCTTGGGGACTATTTTGCCTCACAGCGCCCTGCATGTATCCCTCCACCATGAATGGAGTTTAAGTTCTCTAAACTATCATAAAACAGTGTCTCAGTCATCAGGCAGTGAATTCATAACCATTTCATGTAGGAACTTTCTGTGAGGGAGCTTTTAGAGGTGGACGTCTGGTTCCTATCACCACCACTGTGAACAGTTCTGACTCGGTATATCAGTTTATCTAGAACGGAGCGTTTCACACCAAACCACACGGAGCGAACTTTATGCTGAACTGTGTTTGAAATGTTTAATCGTCACAGCAGTGCCGTGTGAGTAGAGCGTTCCTCACAGTTCTGCTGGAGAACATTCCGGTGTGTCAGTGTGTGTGTGTCTGAAAGCTCTCACACACACATCTTCAATCTTATCCTTTAAATTCCACCAGATTGGCTATTTTTACCCACCAGGTCTGAAGGGTCGAGCGCAGGACGTCAGAGAGACACACGGGCCCTGATAGTGACTCCTGCATGAGTGTGAGTGTGAGTGAAGCTGCAGTGCAGCACAGCGCCCCCTCCTGACTAACACACACAGCACTACCTGTCTCAGGTGTTCAGTGTGAATGAGCTGATGGAGCTGATTTGATTTCAGTTACTGGGTGTAAATATTTTTACATGAACTTAATAATCTGGAGTCGTATTACAGAAACATCTTAACTCTGAAATCTCCATGACGACTTCAGTAGGGATTGAATTTAGTTCAGTATCTATTCCAGAATAACAGCTCCTACCTTCATAATCTCATCATGAACTCCAGATCAGAAAACAGCATCACACAAACATCCTAACTAGACTAAACCTCCTAAATCCTGTCCTAACTTTAGGATGAACCCCAACAGGGTCCTCACTTCTGTTTAAGGTCCGTTTCTATGGTTTTTAGGCAGCTGAGTCAGCAGCATAGTTCACTACCAGCATAATGAGCTCCATTTATTTCTACTGTAAAACGCTGCTTTCACTGTGAGATGATTTTCTTTTCTAACTCTGTGTTTTAAAGATCTCAGACGCTGCAGACTCGATCTCCACCATTCCAACATGGTATTTGGTGCTCACCTAATAATATCTGATGTGCACCAGATTTTTACCCAAAAAAAAAAAAGCCACGTCCCTTCAGGCAAAATGATGTTTAAAAATGAGGATGTATTAACTCATAATTTGAGCAGGGGTGCCAAAACCTTTGCACATGATCTGAGTTTTGCAGGTAACCAGAGCAGCTGGGTTTAAACGATTCTGTCTGTCCAGCTCTTGGAGAAACAGGTGTGAGCCTGATGAGCGGGTGGGGTCTCGGGTGACGGGGCGTGACAGAGAGAGAGAGACAGAGGGAGAGAGAGAGAGTGAGAGAGAGAGAGATAAAGATAGAGAGACAGTGAGAGAGGAGAGAGAGAGAGAGAGAGAGAGAGAGAGAGAGTTCAAAGAGAGAGAGAGAGAGAGAGTTCAAAGAGACCCCACCCACGGGGACATTCCACAGCTATAAACAGAACACACAGACAGAGCAGGAGAACCTGCTGAGAACCTGACACAGTCATCAAACCAGCTTTGCACCTGAGAAGAGCCTCCACCTCTGCCGACACACGCAGTTTTTATTCGTGACTCCGCCCTCTTTACAGAGAACATTCTCAAATATTCCACACAGTCGGTACAGTAACCTGCAGATAGTGATCATCATCATCACAGCCGATCAGATCAATAACTGTGTTAATACAACAAACTCTCTCCACCGTCCACTTCATCAGACTTTACTCCTGTATTTCTGTATCAGCAGTTTCAGAGAGCAGCAGATTACACACCTGCACACACCCCCCCGACACTGACCCAGCAAGTACACAAATAAACTGAATCTACAGAACAGATTATTACAGATTATCACAGATTATCTCAGATTATCACAGATTATTAAACATTATCAGAGATTATTGTAGATTACCACTGATTTTTAAACATTCTTACAGAGATCTTTCAGAAAATAGACGCTGATCTGCGCGTGCAGCAGCTCCGTGTGAGACAGATGTTTAAACTGTTTCTCTGCTTTAGAACGATTTCCACCGAATAGCCGAGAAAATAGTGTGAATAACGTACAGCACAAACGCCACGTAGGAGAACACCTGGAGAGAGAGAGAGAGAGAGAGAGAGAGAGACAGAGAGAGATTATTTATTTATTTTATTTATAATTATTATTTATTTAATTATTTATTTATTTTTAATTATTATTATTTTATTGTATTTTATTTTATTACATTTGGCATGTCCATACTCATCCTATGCTTATATGTATTACCATATTTATTATCCTATTTTTTTTTATTTTCTATTCATTTTTCTTTCCTATTAATTATATTTTAATAATAATTCAATTTAAGATGTATTTACAGCTTTGGCAACATAGGTCTTATATCCTGTCATGCCAATAAAGCATATTTGATTTGATTTGATTTGACAGAGAGAGAGAGAGAGAGAGAGAGAGAGACAGAGACACAGATAGAAAGAGAAAGAGAGAGAGAGAGAGAGAGAAAGAGAGAGAGGGAGAGAGAGAGAGAGAGAATTGAATTGAGAGAGATAGAGAGAGAGAGAGAGAGAGAGACAGAGAGACAGATAAAAAGAGAGAGAGAGGGAGAGAGAGGGAGAGGGAGAGAGAGAGACAGAGAGAGAGAGAGAGAGAGAGAGAGAGAGAGAGAGAGAGAGAGAGAGAGAGAGAGAGAGGGAGAGACAGAGAGAGAGCGAGATAGAGATAGAGAGATACAGAGAGAGAGAGATAGAGAGAGAGAGAGACAGAAAGAGAGAGACAGATAGAAAGAGAGAGACAGAGAGAGTGCGAGAGAGAGAAAGAGAGACAGAGAGAGAGACAGATAGAAAGAGAGAGAGAGAGAGAGAGAGACAGAGAGACAGACAGATAGAAAGAGAGAGAGAGAGAGAGAGACAGAGAGAGAGACAGATAGAAAGACAGAGAGAGAGAGAGAGAGAGAGACAGAGAGAGAGACAGATAGAAAGACAGATAGAAAGAGAGAGAGAGAGATGTGTTTACATGGTGCTCCACATGTCTAATGTAGTTAGATGTTCATCATAAAGACATTTCACTGGCAAAATTCCACTTTTTTTCACTAGCATTAGCATTGTATGCTAACTACAGCGATCGTAAGACATAGAGAATCTGTGAGGACAGAATCTGTGACCACTGACTGTTTGCCACTGGTGGTCCTCCTCGGACCACCCAGATTACTGTCCTGACATACAAGCTTTAACTACTTTTAATCTCCTCACACAGATTTTAAATGCACAGAGACTTTTATTTTGGAAAATAAACTGAGACAAATATGGCAAACAGCTCAGAGAAACAATATCGAGGCCTGATATACAGTGATTTTGTAGAAAGGGTTGCTGGATTACAGTTATTTACTAAACTAATGCCCAGAGTGCAGCTAAAGAAAGGAGCGAGAAACATCGGTAAACTGGACTGTGAGTGGAAAATGAGTGATGATAGTGGAACAGTGGAACACCAGTGGACCGCCAGCGGTCAGTGGTCCACTACCCTCTTGCTATCAGGGGACTAGCTCAGTTCAGCAGAACCAGCACTGCAACCACAGAACTAGCAAGCTATCAGCTAAGCTAGCTCACGGTTAGCTGAGGCTGCCTCGAGCGTAGACAAGCACAACGTCTGCATGTCTGACTGACTTCAGTCTTCACTGAACGCTGTTTCAGCTGTTAGCAGATCCAGCAGCTACGATCATCTGGTCATTATAACCGGAGTGTTATGAACAGCAAGAGCATCTTTGGTATCATTAGCGGATCATTTTGGCCTGTTATGATTATATTATCGTTATACATATTATAAACGTAATAAAAGGTAAATACTATATTAAATTATAAGGCTAGATCTGCTCAATCTTCACAGAGAACTCTTGTGAAATTTGGTTGGGCTTTTCCTGCTGGACTCTTGCTGGACAGCTGCTGGTGGACGTCTGCGCTAGTGTTTGTTTGCCTTTCTGTAGTTTTACTCTGCGGCTGATGCTACTCACACCTAGGTTAATATTAATTATAAAACGGATAGTTCTGGTTCTAAAATCTGATTGGCTGCGTTCAAAGCCGTTGTAAAATCTACGATATACGACTCCTCACAGTGACTGACCTCTGCATCACTGCGCCACGGCATAAAAACCCTTCTGTTAATAAATAGTCTTTGACTCTAATGCTGCTCACACAGAGCACCGAGTGAACTGATGAAGAAAAAACCCGGTTCTGTTCAAACTGAGAGGCTGACAGCTTATTTTCTTATCTAGAACCAGGCTGGTCAGCTAGCTAACAGGCTAAAAGATAAACAGTCTAAACTGCTCCATCATTAATATCACAGGCTTGAATTAAAGCACTTACAGTCTGATTTACTGTAAAACTGCAGTATAAAAGTCTAAAAATGTCACCTGAATGTTTTACACACTTCAAATGTTCGTGTTTCAAAAGTCGCGTCAAACCCAGACTGAATCCCAAACGGCTCTGTACTCCCTAAATAGTGTTCTAGCTATGGAAGTTCAGAAGTTCTAGCCTCTACAGTCAAACAGTGCATCATGTATCGAGTGTGGATGAGTCTGAGTCCCAAATCACTGTTTCTTAGCTGTATTCTGCTCTGTTGGGCTGCAAGATCCAGTATTTAAACTCCTACGTAGTGCACTATGTAGGGAGCAGGGAGCTGTTTGAGACTCAGCCCCAGCGTGAGAAAAGTGGCGTCATCAGACCGGCAGGAGACTCGCAGTGGTGATTTGGACCAAAAAACACTTATAAACTGAAAGTATTTGCATTAAACAGAGCTGTGTTATCATATGTTCACTGTTACATGTAAAAAATAATGAAACGTCTGCAGTTCACAGTGATGGTCGACCGAACATTCTCCTCCTCATTCAGTGGTCCATGGTTGCTTAGCAACAATACTATACTGTAAAGGAACCACATTTCTTGGCAGAATACTTGTTTATGTTGGTTATTATTAATAATAGCATAAATAATTATCTAAAACATTGTGCATTTTCATATATTTCATGTTGGCTGCTGTCGTGCCTAAGAACCCTTCCCCGTGATAAAATCACTGTAACCCACGGCCTCGAGTGGCTTACTGCTTTAACATCTATTCAATTTAAAGTAAATAGACATTATTCTCCCCCCCGTTTCTCAGAGAACAGCTCTTTACCACAGCGGCGATGTCCAGTTTGTAGTCGTAGTCGGAGGCCGTGAGGTAGAGGGTGGTGAAGGCCAGCAGGACGGCAGCACTGAGGTACAGGATGGACGCCAGAGCGTGATACGCCACATCCTACAACACCAGGAGAAGATAATACACACTTATATACACGAAACACAAGCAGACCGAACACCACAGTCCAACAGTGACGCTGGGTTTCTCATCGTGTACTGCAGTTACGGTCAGTGAAACATGTCTGTCTCACTCTCGTGGCCCAGCAGCACCGCAACCAACCAGCTAACTGACCACATCATTAACGTCGGCTAACACTGGCTAATCATCAGAGAGGAACACAGACCTTTAATGTGAAGCTTAATGTAGTTAATTAAGTTAATCTAAACTGATATCGGTTCTCTGAGGTTCTGTAAATGGGAACAAATCATGCGGACCACCAACAGGATAAGGAGGTGGGACCACCGACATCCAGCCAATCAGGATAAGGAGGTGGGACCACCAATATCCAGTGGCTGTATGTGTTTGGGGGAGGGGCTTTAGAGGGAACACTGAAGGGAGGGGCTGTATGTGTTTGGGGGAGGGGCTTTAGAGGGAACACTGAAGGGAGGGGCTGTATGTGTTTGGGGGAGGGGCTTTAGAGGGAACACTGAAGGGAGGGACTGTATGTGTTTGGGGGAGGGGCTTTAGAGGGAACACTGAAGGAGGGGCTGTATGTGTTTGGGGGTGGGGCTTTAGAGGGAACACTGAAGGGAGGGGCAGTATGTGTTGGGGCGGGGCTTAAGAGGGAGCTCTGAAGGGAGTGGGTGGTCTTTAAATGGCTCACAGCATGTTCTCTTTTACAGTCTGTCTGTTGGTGAAACTGATCCTCAGGAACGGTTTCTCAGTGTAAGTCTGGCTAAAACCCACCGCAGCAGCCCAGGACGCTCGGTTGTTGTGGGTTCCACAGACGAAGACCATCATCCAGACGAAGGTGATGACGAAGCAGAACAGAGACACGGTCATCACGTAGGCCTGAGGGTTATAGGGGGCGATGTAGGTGCAGGCCACCAGGATCCACACCAGACCACCAAACACCTACACATACATCCACATACATACACACTTATATACACACGTATATATACCTATACATACATATATACACTTACGTATACAAATATACACAAACATTTACACTCATACACAGATTTATCATTTAAAAACTGGCATATTCAAATCAAGCTTTGAACAATTAATGAATCGTTTCATAAAGTTTCATAAACACCCTGTGATGGACTGACTGCCTGTCCAGGGTGTTTCCTGCCTTCTGCCCAATGACTGTTGGGATAGACTCCAGCTCCCCCCCCCACGTGACCCAGAAGGATAAGCGGCTTAGAAAACATGGGTTTCATAAATGACCAAAAATGCATGTCAAATTATTCTAATGCTTCACTTTTTTGAGAAAACCTGGTTATTTTTATCTATTTTTCTTCTGCTTTTCCGTAAAACAGACGGAAGACGTTAGAGTCTCACTCCAAGATCTTTCTGGAACGCCCACTTTTCATCATCCAATCAAATCCTGAGGAATAATAAAATAGTGTCCCGCCCGAGTAGCTCGTTCCAGTCGTCACGCTCAGGAGGGACAAATATGCTCTGATTTCTGATTCACAGCTCAGATGATTTTATTCATGTTGGCAGCTGCCCAGCTGTATAATAACTCCTTTAAAGAGGTTTGATTGGCTGATTCCTCAGTCTCTCATCAGTCCAACAGACTCTAGAACTTTCTTTGGTACTAGTGCGATGCGGTTCTCACTGATTAAAACATGGCTGCAGATCACACAACACAGCAGGAAGAACTTTGCGCTGCTTCTGCCCAGAAACGGCTGCAAGCTGCCTCCACCACACTAAACACAATACACACTTCAGAAAGACGGCTCTTCAAGGGTTCTTTAGTAAAATGGTTCTATACACATGGTCCTAGACCCTTGGCAGGATTACATGGTTCTCTGCACAGTGAAATGGTTCTTCAGATTGACAGAGAATGTAGTGTATAAGGTTCTGTGCAGCTAAACTAAAAAGGGTTCGTACCAACAGAAAGAACCCTTTTTGATGCTATAGAGAGCCATTAGAAAAAGGTTCTATATTGAACCATATACAACACATTCTCCGTCAATCTGAAGAACCATTTCACCATGCAGAGAACCCTTTAATCATGAAAATGGTTCTATATTAAACTTTTTTTTTACTAAGAGCCACCTTTTTAAGAGCGTGTTATTGCAGCCCTATACAGTGTCTAAAATAACAGAACAGTGGGAAAGATAATAAGAGAAACACGCACACACATATTTTAGCGCTGAGCTAAATGTCAGGAACGTGTCCGACCGGTTTGGCCCTAAAAAACAATCACGCACCTTCACTGCAGCCGCATATTTCAGACCAGTGAACATAATTTATCATAAAAATCATATCATTTCACATCCTGTCCTCTTTCACACAGCCGGGCGTTCGAGAAAACTCCATTTCACCCTATTTTTCTCGTAGGAATGACAGTTTAAAACGATAGTTTGGCCAATGGTCTGATCCCCCCGGTACCGCCCCACCCTCCCCACCCCCACACCTTTACTCCAAATTTAGATAGATAGATAGATAGATAGATAGATAGATAGATAGATAGAACTATTGATCCCGGAGGGAAATTGCAGTGTTTCAGCAGCAAAACATATAACTGCACATAAACTTACATACACTATGCAGAAAAATAGAAAATAGAAATCAATCCAGACATAAGTTACAGTACATGAGAAATAAAATAAAAGTATCTCTATTTACATATTTACATGGCAGATTCGCTGTATTTACAGGACAGCAGGCACTGAGTGGTGTGAGGTAAACTAAAAGCACATATTATAGACATGACTAACTCTGAGTTGCATCAGTATTGCAGTGTAGAGTGCATAGTGAAAGTGTCGGTACAGTAATAGTGGTGATATGTTGCACAGTGTGTATTAATGGAAGAGGAGATACAGTGATGTGGTTCAGCCCAGTTCAGATAGCCGATTAGCCGATAAGCCATGATGAGTTTGACTTGTTTCTTTAGTTTTAGCATCGCAGCTACGAGGCTAATGCAGCTAACACGTAATTGGAGATTATGCAACACTGATTAGCCAGTTAGCATTTAGATCACTAACTACTCCACACAGTTTGAGGAGCGAAAATGCGAAAATTCTCTGTTTGAATTTGAGGCGCCAGAATGTAACGGCTGCACCATTTAAGGTGGAACAGAAAATACCAACAAGAAGCTGCTGAATAAGGAAGCTGACTTCACAAACATGAGGAAATTTAGGCATGCAGTTAGCATCATGCTAACTGGTAGGGTATAATATTTCATACACACATAATATTCCTGATAAAAAAAGATGAATATTATTTATTATTGTTTACATTTTACTTTTCGCTGTAGTCACAGACGCTACGTCACAGTGACGTCTTTAAGTAGAACAAAATATGACAGATTATAAATAACAGAGTTTATTTCCTCACAAGTTCAGGCAGGTAGAGCATGTCGGGGATGGAGCAGCAGATGCTCAGTCCGGAGGGCAGTCGGCCCACGTGTCCAGTGTCCATGCTGTCTCCGAGTCTGAGTGACCGGACAGATCAGAATGAGGACGACAGCCTGAGAGACGGCTTAAATACTCCTCTGAGTTCCTGTAAAACCAGCTCCACCACACACACTGACACACACACACACACACAGACACACACACACTGACACACACACACACACACACACACACACACACTGACACACACACACACACACACACACACACACACACACACACACTGACACACACACACACACACACACACACACTGACATACACACAGACACACACTCCTGAGAAAGGCATGTGGTCGTGTTCAGCAGAGCAGATCGACAAAAAACAGAATTCAACCAGAAAACATCAGTTACTGTAACTGATCAATATCTGATAATTATCAATAACATCTCACAATCAGGAGTGTAATTAGCCAAGAGCTGATCAGTATCTGACACTGATCAGTACTAGCTCACCATTACAATCAGGAGCGTTGTGGAGATAGACAGACAGAATGATAGATACATAGATAGATAGACAGAAAGACAGACAGACAGACAGACAGACTTATTTATATAGCACTTTTTACAGAAGGTGTAACGGGTCTGAGCCCCCATGAGCGTCGCCAATGGCGACAGTGGCAGGAAAAACTCCCTAAGAGCAAAGAGGAAGAAACACTGAGAGGAACCAAGACTCAGAAGGGGAACCCGTCCTCCTCTGGTCCACACCGGATAGGAAACAGCGTTAGTATAAAGTATTATGGTACAAAATGGGAAAAACAGGTGGAGCAATGGTTAATTACATAGACTGAGACTGTGCAGCACCAGCAGGGGGGTCAGTTCATGAGGGTGAGGTGTGCACAGCGTTGTACAGCATGAAGCTCAATGGTGGTCAAGCCGGTCCAGAAGGCTGGTGAGCAGTGGAACCCGATCAAGGCAGAAGAAGCAACAGCATCAGACACACAGGATGGGCAGCTGTTCAACTCAGCACAGAGAGGAAACACACAGAGGGTCAGTTCTGTACAGAGAGACTGACCACAGATTACAGGGTTAACAGAGCAGCAGAGACTCCAGCAGGTCTACATATTACAGCCTCACTAAGAGGGAGAGACAGACGGTAACAGAGTCAGGAGGCTCCCTGAGATGTCGGCGCCCCTCCACTCCACCGTCAGCAAACCTGAGTGAGTGCGTGAGCAGCGGGACGACAGCACCAACACTCCCAGTTTACCATAACACTCCATGACCATGAACCCCAGATCTGCACCTTTTATCTAACAGGGAAAACTAATCACCAAAGGCTCCACTAAACAAGTGGGTTTTAGTCTAGACTTAAACACTGAGGCTGAGTCTGAGTCCCGAACACTGACTGGAAGATTATTCCAAAGCTGGGGGGCTTTGTATGAGAAGCTCCGCCCCCTGATGTAGCTTTATTAATTCTAGGTACTAATAGTGAGCAGCACCTTGTGATCTAAGTAGGCGTGATGGTTCATAGTGAGAGAGAAGTTCACTCAGGTACTGAGGGGCGAGTCCGTTTAGGGCTTTATAGGTCAGTAAGAGAATTTTATAATCAATGCGAAATTTAACTGGTAACCAGTGTAAGGTTGATAAAACTGGGCTGATATGGTCGAACTTTCTGGTTCTAGTAAGAACTCTGGCTGCAGCGTTCTGGACTGGCTGAAGCTCGTTAAGGCTTTTGCTGGGACATCCAGCCAGCAGGGCATTACAGTAATCCAGCCTTGAAGTAATAAATGCATGAACTAACTTTTCTGCATCCTGTAGATGCATTTATTAATTTAGCAATATTGCGGAGATGCAGGAAGGATGTTCTAGTAATATTAGTTATATGTGTGTCGAAGGACAGATCAGGGTCTATAATGACACCAAGGTTTTTTACAGATGAGCTTGATGCAGCTGAGAAACTGTTAAAGTGTAAAATTAGACAGTTTGTTTCTGGCTGCTTTTGGACCAAGAAGCAGAACCTCTGTTTTATCTGAGTTAAGGAGGAGAAAGTTACTCGACATCCAGTCCTTTATGTCTTTTATACAGTCCTCAATCTTGCTAAGTTGAAGTTTATCATCTGGTTTGGCTGATTTATATAACTGTGGAAATTGATGCCGTGTTTACTGATAATGGTGCCCAGTGGTAGCGTATATAATGTGAATAATACAGGTCCTAAAACAGAGCTTTGTGGAACACCATACTTTACTTTAGTGAGAACAGATGATTCACAGTTTACATTAACAAACTGATAGTGATCAGTGAGGTAGAACCTGAACCAGGAAAGAGCTGTTCCTGTTACCCCTACAAGGTTTTCTAGTCTATCTAGTAATATAGTGGTCAAGATCAAAGAGGACTCGCAAAGACACATTTCCTTGGTCAGGGAATGATAAAAGATCGTTTGATGTCTCTGTACTATGATGTGGCCTATATGTACATGATTCCTATGCAAATAGCAACTTAATTGTTTTGCCACAACTTTTTCCAGGATCTTTGAGGTCTAATTACTGCTAGTTTAAGAGTTTTTGGGATGTATCCGAGGCTAAGAGAGGAGTTTATTACTGACAGAATAGGCTTGGTTATTTCTGGCAGAAGTTCTTCGAGTAAACCTGTAGGAATCAGATCCAACATACAAGTAGAAGATTTGGTGGAGGAAACAATTTTAACTAGTTCATTTTGTTGAAGTAAAGTAAACGATTCCAGCCTCTCTGCAGTTACAATATTCTCATGATCTAAACTGCAGCGCTCCAGACAACAAAATAGCTTGAGGAGCCACCGGCTCCTAAAAGAAAAAAACAATCAGGCGCCAATAGTTTTTTTACGTGCCAAATAATAATATGCAGGAAAATAAAGCTTTTCAACACAGCTCAGGTCAGCTCTGTGATTTAAAGGGGAACTCCACCGGTTTTTGTTCAAATTTTCTGCAGAATTAAATGATTAACATGTCAACATCATCATGCAGAGTGTTAATATGAAACCCTTTGTTCTTACAGAGTCAGAACTGTTCACAGTGATGATGGTAGGAACCAGACGTCTGAGGAGCTAACTGTCTCTAAAAGCTTCCACCCAGAAAGGCATTATGTGAAATAGTTATGAATTCACTGCCTGATGTCTGAGACACTGTTTTACAGTAACTTTGTGATAAAGGTTTGGTTTAAATGTATTTTAATCAATTAATTTTAATCCATTCATGGTGGATGGATACCTGAAGGCAAAATAGTCTGCAAAGAATTTTCAGATTCGTTTCTAAAATGTCTATATTTGTGTTGTAGTCATGGCGACCCCTGGTTCCTATCACCACCACTGTAAGTGAGTCTGTAAGTTCTCTGCAAATGAACCATTTCACATTAAAACAGTCTGAATGTCTGTTTGTATCTCAAACACTAAATTTTATTATTGAATAAATTCATAAAATCATTGCTGCTATAGGCTAATGGCAGGGATGGGGGAGTAGCTAAGTAGCGTGCTACTTTTTGTAGCGAACTACAAATATTAGTAGCTGGAGCCGCTACAGTTGTATGAAATGTAGCTAACAGCTGTAGCCCTACAAATGTTTGTGTAGCTATAGTGATAATTTTCACTACAATTTCGCTACAGACTTCAGGCAATCCGCTCAAAATCTGAACCGCAGAGCGCGGCCGTTAACTGGGCCGGTGGCGACTGTGCAGTAATGACTGAGCCGCAGTTCGAGCAAACGCTCATGCGCTGACCACCCCATACTGGTAGGCTCGGGTCACTACTGAAATGATAAGAAAAGCCATTTTGTCCTTTCAACATAAATGAAACCACCTTGGAAGCATTTTATATCCGTTTTACCACCTGGGCTGTAAATGTATCTCAGTATGTGCTGATGTTCCAGTATAGGCTACAAATATAAACACCAACTCAGACTCACTTTGCTCTGCTTTAACCTTCAGCTGCCTTTCTCATGTCTCAGTCAGGAAACTTTTCCGCGAGTTTCTTGTAAAATATCTCTCAATGTTTGACTTTTTACGAGGCTGAATTCGCTTCTCATTCTCCTGCTTCTCCTTCAAATTGTCCCGTTCCACCTTAAATGGTGCCTGAGGCGCCAGATTGTACTGTTGCACCATTTAAGGTGGAGCGGGAGAATTAGAACGAGAAGCTGGAGAATGAGAAGCAAATTCAGCTTCGCGAGTTGTTGCAGATTAAACGTATCAGGAAACCAGCTGAGTGATTATAAATGTAAATAAGTCCATTCGTCTCCAAATTATCGATGTTGGTCTGAAATCTTTATCTTTGCCGTTTCGTTATCTGCGTTGCTATGGTGACCAGCTGTCTGTGCGTCAGTCTTCAGCACTAAAGGGTGAATTAGCAGTTCTACATTAGCTCCAGTGTTTAAGACCACTTATTGTGAAAACTGTGTTATAACGATTTTACAGTAAAGGAGGATTATTATGATATTTTACCCAAATCAGGTTCTGCTGTGGAGCCGCAGCAGCTCTGCAGTGGAGAGATTATTCAGGCCTGATTCTCACCCCAGGATTCTGAGGCTAAAGTGTTGCTGAAGGACTCTGAATGTCGCGTCTGTCTGTATCTTGCTTAAATGTTTAAATTGGAGCAGTTTTATTTCAACAGTTGACGATGCTTTGGACAAAATTGTTTGTATTCAGTTATTTTTGTTGATTTTTGTTAGGAAAAACCTGAATGACTGACTTTGCCTTTAGTCTAGGTTTTTGTTGGATATCACGCCTTTGGTTGTGTGAGTTTGATTGTTGGTCACTTAAACTCACTGTTTGGTTAGGGTTAGGGTTAGTTTTTGTGTATATGCAGCTTTTCAGTTGTTTCTTTCTGCCTCATGATTAAGTGCAGTGTCTTGTTCACACTGTCAGTTGGGCTTGTTTGGTGTGTCAGGTGGAGGATCACAAACACTCTGACAGTC